AAGTCAATTTCATTACAGAGGAATAAAAAAAAAAAAAAGAGAGGACCCTGACAGTCAGCAATAATAAATCAACACTACCTGCCTGCCTCTCAAGAGGCAGCCTTTCTTTATCAGGTGTTTAAAATTCAGTCCTCCATTTCTCCTACAACAGGCAATTCTCTTCTCTGCTACACTCTTATTTTCTGATATCCAATCTTTGCAAGGCTCACAATCCAGGAAGATATTTCCCACCTTCAGAAAAGTATCATCAAAAGACTCTGCTTTTCCTTGAGCCATGAGGTGAGCTACCAGGTTGATCAGCTTTACTGCTTGAGTAGCCTGAGTAAACCTCCTCATGTAAACCACTGCTTTCTTCCATTTCAGAAAGTTGCCTCTATGCCATCCATCACTGTAACTCCCATTTATAAAAACGGCATCTTTGAGGAGCAATCTATGACAAATAGCAGTCCACGCGACCACAAATTAATTCGCATGCAATGAGAGCCCTTTTCCATTTATTTCCAAGGTAGGCTTTTTTTTTTTTAAACAAAGCAGGTTTTTGCTGTTCACAGATGCCTAGTTGTGTTCGGAGCTACAGACTTGACTTCCACTGATATATCTGGTGTAGTTGCAGTCTTTCCCGAGCACCAGGCTTGGCAACACTGCACTACCTTCAACAGGCCCACAGCAAAAATGCAAACATGGTGTGCTTTGCCTGCTTAAGTGAGTTTTCACAAGAGGAAGGAGAAAGAACAGCAGCAGCATCCTCCAAGTCTCATACACTGGTAGTTTTTCATCTGAGAACATTTCACAGCCCCAGCAGAAGAGCTCTCAACGGTGAACTCTTTCCGCTTAACAGCTTCAGGCCACAGGCTTTCCACAACTGTCTCTTTTTCGTTTTCATATTATACCCAACAATATAGAATTTGTTTTCAAACTGAAAAAGCATGCAAGACTGCAGGTCAGCAGCTAACATTCATTCCACAGAGGTTCATAACAAATTGATCCCATTCTACAAAAAAAGAGAAATAAATCTCATTGTGCACCTAGCAAGACCATCAGAACAAAAGAGAAAAACACACAATAAAGAGAAAGAAATGAGGAAAAGTAGCCTTGAAGCACTGTCAAAATGTAAAGGCATGTGAAACAAGCTGTATTAAGCCCTGACGGCAACTTCGGTGAGAAGTGACTATACACATTAATTAAATTTTAGCATACTTTTAGTACTGGCATGGGGGTTGTAAGGAATGCAATTTTAGCAATTGCTTTCCTCTTTTATTTACTAAAGTGAATGATATACTGCTTTCTACAAGACAATCGCACAATGCCATTTCAGTATAAGCTATATTTTTACAAACTAAAACGCAACAGAAAATATCACAGCTTGAATTCACACTGACCTATCAAATTTAGGTACCAAGAGAGAAGAAAGGATGCAGAAACAGTACTATCAACAAATAGTTGCATCTTCTGAGATAAAAGCTCTGCCTGTTGAAATTTAGAGGATGAAAACTGGCAAACTAAAGGTTGGAAGTTGAAATTCAAAGCATTCAGACAAGAAACAAAGCACCAGTTTGTAATAAGGGTAATAAATCATTGGAGCAATGTCACAAAGAGAGATGATGTTTTTCCTGAAAACAAAAAATTACATCTGATCTTAAACAGTAACTATTCCAAACAAGTCTTAGACTGCACTGTAAGGGAGGTCAAGCTACACTAACACAGCTTTTCACCAGGGCTCTACTACTTTTAATCAACTACCCTTGAAACTGAATGTTACTTCTTTTTAAGAACTTTTGTTATGAATATCTACTGACAAACATCCAAGAAATGACCACTTCTCTACTTAGTACTATTTTCAACAGTGGAAATAAATAAGTGAGAGGGAAATGCAATATATTGTTGTAGTACAGTAATTTAGTTATCCTTACATATGTTCTCCCTTCTTCCGTTGCAAAGTCTCAGCAGAAGTCTTTTTGCATTGAATCAGATTTTTAAGGAGAACACCACAATTAATGAGAACACGTTTCATTCAGTAGAATCACCCACCTGGCCTTCCTCAAACACTACATAATGGAGCGGTCATGAAAAGTCCCGTGTCGCCAAAAATGACTACCCAAGGCCTGAATTAGTTTTGCTAGACAAAGACAGATTCAGCACAGGCTGAGAACTTTAACGTATCTACTTCCCTTCACCTTGACTTGAAGGAATCACGCTCTGAAGGCAAGGTGGCAGCAATATCTCCATTGTCATTAAATCACCACCTTTACCTACCAAGCAAGGTTAACATTTAGTAGCAATTATGACAAGGAAACCTTTCTAACACCTGGCGCAATGCAGCCAATTCGCACAAAGAAATAAAGATAATTAAAGAGCAAGTTTTCATATTAAATCATACCAATCTAGAATTCAGAGACTGTATTTTATGCATAAGATTCAAGTATGCACATTAACCTTTTTGTCTTCCCATTCCGCCAAACTGCCCTACCCCTCACGCATGGCATTTAGAGAAGAATGACTCTGAAATTGTCACTTTCTTACCCAGCATATTTTCACCCTGAAATGCATTCAATTATCACAGCTTGTTCTGGTGGGGAAAAAAACCCGACAGATACCATTTTTACTGAACTTTATTATTTTTATCATTCCATAACAAACTACACAAGGGCAGGATGAAGTTCTGATCTCTCATTAGGAAGGATTACAGAAATGTTAACCAAGATAAAAATGAGGTATGTGGTCTACACTGGTTTTGTTATTGATGATCATATGCATGACCCTGAAAGAAAGTGTTCAATCCTGTGGTCTATTGCCATGTTCTGAGTTCGGATGTTCTAAGTTTACTTAGTTACAGGTAAAACACAGGCATTTATAAGAGCATTCAATTTAGATAACCATAAGCCTATGTGTTTCTCTTGTCAGTGAGGCTAAAAATCTAATCCCACAAAAGGATATACAAAGTCAACACACCATCACACACCTTGATCGTTATAGTAACAGAATCATAATAAATCTCTACAGAATTTCAGAAACGGTGTCTTAGTCTTTCACCAACCACTCCAGAGGAAGTATTGGGACAAGAGGAAATGGTCTCAAGTTGCGCCAGGGGAGGTTCAGGCTCGACATTAGAAAGAACTTCTTCACTGTAAGAGTCTTTAGGCACTGGAACGAGCTCCCCAGGGATGTGGTGGAGTCACCATCCCTGGAGGTGTTCAAAAAATGTTTAGATGTGGCACTTCAAGACATGGTTTAGTGGGTTTAGGGGGCATGGTGGCACCGGGTATATGGTTAGAATTGATCATCTTTGAGGTCTCTTCCAACCATAATGATTCTATGATTTCAAAAAAATTTCACAGGAAAGAAGATCAGTCCCTGATCAACCCAAGAGTGTTGACAAAAGTCAATTTGCACAATTTATCCTTACTCCATGGTTTTCAGTACCAATAAAATGTTTTTATCCAATTCTTCAAGATCATCCATTGCCCAATCCTTAAGAGCTGACAAAAGCCACAGCAAATCTCTGCTGGCAATACCTTTCTAGGATAAAGATTAACAGCGCAAAAAAAGCGTTAGAAGTGAAATGAATGGCGACAAACCCAGAAAATATACACAGCATATTATTTTCTATTTGTATTATCCATAGAAGTAAAAAGTCCTAGTGATTGTCCAAGACTGTACTATGTGGTAAAAGACTTTTCCCTGACTTTCCATGCCCTAACAAGATGATGTAGAAATGCTTTCAAATAATCCAGAACAACCTGAAGCAACCGTCTTTCTGACACACCACAACAAAATCTGGAGCAATTCCAAAAATCCATCTAACAATACAGCTGTAATCATTACAGCATAAAATTTATTTCCAATGTGCTGTACATAACATTACCACTAATTATCCAGCAAGTAAAGGAGTTACAAACGTAAATGTTAAATCATAAATTAAAATGGAGTATTTTTAAATATTTTATATTTCTAAACCAAGGAGTAAATATATAAAGAGCACTACATAAAAAGCACCAACACTGAATTTCTGCTTAAACCTGCTTAAAATATCCCAGTGTTGGAACCCAATATAATCTTACCATGTTTCTGCTCCAGAGCAACTCAAACAATCGAACATTGAATCAGAAGGATGAACACATCCACTGTATGCAGAACATTCTCAATTTTGTTTTTAAATCCTGGTAATGCCAAAGTAATGTTTTATCATGGAGTACCAATAAAAGGTTCACAAAATTAGCAGCCACTATAACACAATGTATTTTTCCTTCTCCTTCAGTCCCATGCCTCAAAGTCTAAAGTATTTGCTCTGTAGCCCATTTCCTTCTTATCCCATACTGCAGTAGGAACCAGGAATCACATTGCTACAAACCAGCACACAATACAAATGTCTTAAAAAGCTCTTCACAGCTACGTGATGTACAGTAGGCATCGGAGGATTTGACCATGTACGCCGTGAACAGCACAAAACCACTGGTCTATAGCCTGAAATATTACCATAGGCCTCCCACCATGTTTCTTTTTAAGAACACAAACAGATTTCTATGCTTTAACATGTTCAGACTTTTTAAGAACATGGCAGACTAGTTCATGCTGTAATAGTAATTAAATTACCTGTTGCACATATCTGTCAGTGGTTTTCCACATGTAATAATATTCAATGATGCTAGTCAGTGACTTCCAAGGGAGCTGAAAAACATTTGTTACAAATTAACATGGCTCCAAGAAATTGCAATGTCCGTATCTTATTAAATACATGTTAAAATCAAGCGTAGGTGATACTAATACTAAAATGTGAACGTATTAAATAACTATATTAAAATCCATATGCAAATGAATACATATTACTGTTAAAAACAGACAACCTTTCCTTACACATAACAAGGATGGAGATTTACAACAATAATACACATCCAAAACCAAATGTAATTTATTCTGTGTAAACCATATGGTTAAATGAAATGATCAAAACAGAATCCAGATTTCTATCAGGAAACACAGAAGGCAATATCTCTGTTATAAAGTGTATCAGACGGAGAACAACAGCAGGACTAAAATAAATCATCTTGACAAGACTGTGCTCGAGTCTCAAGATAATTTTACTCTTAAAAAATACAACAGTTACTGTACTTAGTTCACAAGTCTTTCAAGTCCTGTAAGAAATCAGCTGCTTATACAATACCACTAGTTTTCTATCAACCTCCGCACACTCTTGACCACTAAAAAAAGAAACAAAAGGATGCTAGGGACAAGTGCTACCTTGAGCAACAAGGGTGATACTGACAATGAATATTTCACAAAAATCCCTGTGAGAACTCAGGGCAATTGACAATGGTGATGATTGTTTTGGGTGCACATGTTCATCGGTAAAATAAAAATGTATTAGCCTAAGTTTAGGGGAGAAAATTAAGCCCACAGCAGCCATTTTTAATTACTACCAAATAATCTATTTAATTCCTTGAATTTTTTTCTGTAATTTAAATTAGTATTTCTCTTACAAAATTCATGCAATTTTTGTTCATAACCTGGAAACATGCTACTATTTTGTACATGATATTTTCTAGAGGCATGCATTAACACTAATATTCTCTGCTTTCCAGAAATAAGGATGATTTTTTGCAAGTCCCAGAAAATACAGGTGTGGAAACATATCTTTCCAACCTTACTCACTCCACTTTGGAGCTTGCTGCATGTCTTATACCAAAAGAATAGGTTCCTGAACCTTTAATTAAGTTCCTAAAACAACAGAGAAACACCGTATCAAGCTGCCTCTCCCTGCATGCAGGAACTCACAGACAGTTTTTCACGCTGCCTGCTTGCAGACATTTAGAGCAACAGAATCTGGCTCCCACCTCTGCCTTTCAGGAGCTGGGATTCAGGTCCAGACTCAGCTGTGAACTCTTTCTCAGGCAGTGTACCGCAGCATGTAAATCCCTGTCCATTTGCATTTCATTAAAAAGTAGCAGTGTAACAAATGCAGAAGCTGATGTTCCAATAAATAGCAACACAATTTGGTTTACTAAAATCCTTTTACTTTCTCAGGTAAACTACGCCTGAAGAGAAATCTGCCCAAGAAAAGGCCAGTGATGGGAACATGTTTCGTGCGGGGTCACAGATGAGCTGCTTCTCAGTCTCTAGGTCCATATTCTTCCTGGCATCTGGACGAAACACTATCACCTCAACTACCTGCCATCATCAATGAGTACATTTTAGCATCTCCATGCTTATTTTCCTTCCTGAACACTTATTAACACATTCATGCTACAGATGATGTTTGCCATTTCTCTAGAAAATACTTTAATCTGTTTTAACTATGATTCTGACATCAGTATGTTCATTCACTCAAAGGGCATCTACAATTAAAAGGTAATTAAGGTGCTTGAACTGGATAACCATAATCCTTTTACACTTTGATTCCAACTCAGAAAATCTGTTTGACAGACTGAGTATGAATATCCTGTATTCTGTTTACCTACTCAAATATCAAAACACTGTAGAGGCATGCGAATTTTCCAGAGGTTGCTCTGAACTGCCAGAGAAGCTGTGAACAGCCATAGAATAATATACTCTCATTACCAAATTCTATTAAATACTAATTGAAAGAAGTAAAAATAACCATCTGTGTTTCTTCTACATTTTTGTAGAAGAAAATCAGCAAAAAGGTGTCAGTAGTACAAAAACAGAGGGCAATTTTCAGTTTCTTTAGTTTCTTCAGGGTAAAAATGGACCACTCAAATCAGACCAACAGGAAAAACTTATGATTGTAAAGTATCTTAAAATGAACATGTTAACTTTAAGGCGCGTTTCTGTAATTTTCTGAAGTGGGAAAAAAGTTCCTCCTGTTTTCTATAAATGGTTCAAGTCTGATTCCCAAGTCCTTTCCCGCCATATTTGAGATGTAACAGTTACAAATTTGTAAGAACTGTTGATAATGAAAAACTAAAAGTTAACAAGCATAACAGATGTCTCTTACCATTACGAAAACAGTTATATTTGGAGAAGATAAAATATTTAGTCTTCCATTCTACTACCCTGAGATGTGAAGTAATTCAAGTACATCGAGTAAATTCAATTAACTTAAAAAGTTTAGGTTGATTAGGATTCACACAGGTTCTTAGAGACAGCAGAACATCAACAAATGAGCTCCTGTAACAGCTGATGAAAATCATTATTCAAAGGCTAGACTGGTAATTTGATAACAAATGAGCTGCTTCTGTCTATTGAAAAAGGTAAACTCCTTTACACCATTCAATTTGTAATAATTGTCTTGCTTACTAATATTTAATGTTTATAGCTTAATGCTTGAGCTGCACATTGAACATCAAATAGTGCCAGTTCTTACTAATTGCTGGAAAAGTAAATGAACCTGCCCTTTAGAGAACTAGCATGTAAGAGCTGCAACTGCAGCTGCCATGCCATGCAAATGCAGGACAATTCAGAAAGTGCAACTCCTGTGGCATATAACGACTCAAGCAGGTACTGCATAATCCTTCTGCTTCAGGAGACTGCTACCAACCACTTTCTGCCATGCAACGTGACAGTCTTGCCTGTACAGTGGCAGTACTGTGTGACTGCTTAGGTTCGGGTTTAATCTCGGGCACCACAGGATTTAATTTCATCATTAGATCCTACGCAGACAATCAAAGAAGTTTGCATGTATACTACCACTGCATTAGCTTCTTTGTCCACGCTCTTACAACACACATAAGAGTACTTACTTTTCAATGACGAGCCACTGAAAAGAGGGATGATAATGTATAAATGTATCCTCATGGAAAGATCACTGCTTAAGTGCTACATATTTATACCTACCTCACCTTGCAGAAACTTTTCATATATCCATGACCTAAACCTTGAAGGACTATTCCAGATGATTACTTAAAACCAAACGTTTGTTTTCAAATCTCTATACTTTTAGAATGCTACATAGCAAGTGAGAACACATAAATTTTACTCTGGAGAAATTAAGATATCCCAAGGTTACACAATGATTAAAATAATCAAAAGATTTCAAGCTATGTAGATTTAGATCAAGACTGTATGCACGAATACCATATAAACTGGTATGTAAAATAGATGTTCTTCTAATGATGTTTTAAAAATGACATGCCACTTTTCCAAAGGTAAAAAAAAAAAAAAAGGACTAAGGATAGACAAATAGACAACACCCCTGTTTCAACTAAATGAGACTATAATTAATCAGTGCCCCACATCCATTTCTGCTGCACTCCAACTCAACATTAACGTGCCCTCAGTAGGCTATGTAACCCTACCTCTAGATCTGTGCGTATCTCACTTGAGGAAGATGGCAAGGGAAAATCGCATTTTGGGAAGGAAGATTCAGTAAAAGAGGCAGGGTGTTAGGAGTCTACCCGAGATAAAATCTGAACAATTTAAACAGCTTCTAGTAGACTCACTCAAATACGTAGCATTTGAACATTACAAACACATAAGTGATTCCCGCCACACATTACACCACTGTATCACTTTAATGTATGCATATCAACAGAATTAGATATTACACAACACAGAAATCATACAGAAAATAAAAATACTACATAAATACCAGAGACAAGGCTTAGGCATACTTGGTCACAAATCGTGTTAGGACTCAACTTGTACACAGCTAATAACATCTGTATTATATGCTTTAGGCATTTTGAAAAGCCAAATACTACGTATTAGGAAACATTTAGTTAGAAAACATAGCTACTGAACTATTGTACAATTACAGCTGAGGATCGTTTTTATCTGTATGAGAAATAATAAGGAATTGTAGTTTACATTAAGATTTCAGTTCTAAAATTCTATAAAATATTCTTTTCCACTGGTATTTTCTTGAACAGAGCTATTTCATCCACGATGCAATTTTCAACCTTACGTGATGAATGCAGCGAACATTTTCTCCCTTAGGAATCTCAAAATTAAGCATGTAGATATAATACACCTGTTAAAATGTCAGTTCTCAGAAAAACAATAGCCTTCCCTTCCCACCTTCATTCAATTATCATTCAATTTCATTTCAGAACTGTGAAAGTGAAGGAAAGACAGCTCAGCTTGGTGCCAAGCCTCCCGCTGTTCCGCACTCTATCTTGGAAACACTTCTACGTTCACCATACAGTACCGTTCTCCCTCACAAAGATTATTAATAACTTCTGCAAAGAAAAAAAATCTGAGCTCTCAGAGTCAAGTGGAATGAGATTGTTGTGAAAGTGTTTCAGTCGACTTCAGGCTTAAATAATGGAATTCCTTTGGCTCAAATCCTAACCTTTTCACAAAGCCTAAGCTGAATAAATCTTTTTCTTTGAAAGAAAGAGGCTCTTCAAGAAACGTGAAAAAAATTTGCAGACAAATTACTAGCAGTCCCAGCAATCGGTGTTAGAATCAATTTCATTTCATTACTCCGCATTACAATTCAGCAAATTAAAACTTTGCTCTGATACTTCAGTACCAAAAACAGTGCACTCGGAACATATTGGAAAAACATTTCCTTTACTGCCAAAATACCTAATATGTCAGACTAACTCCCTGTAGTGCACTTTAAAAGCTCTTTGAATATAAATTTTTCTCTGCTAACCAGAGAAGGAAACCCCAGTTTTCCAAAAACACTCAGCAGAGCCATGTAGGTGCTAATGCATTTCACTAGAAATTGTGGAAAAGCTCTGAAAAGTTGCTGGAACTTTTTCCGATGCTTGTAAAATCCTTGAAAAAAGCCTTATCAAAACACATCAGCATGAGACATCCTACCTGGTATTAAACCACTGAACAGATTATCTTCCGTCAACATCTTTCCAAAGAATGGCACCGAACAAGAAAGCATACTGACTTTCGGCCAGATAAAATGTGTATGTATGTTAATTACATATATCAGCTCCACAGATTTTTTTTCTCTAGCTAATCTTCCAAACCTACAGAAAGCAGTTACGCTCACCCCTACAAAAACACAGTAACAGAAGACTGTACTACTTTCGTACTTACAAAGTCCTGTCGAATGTCATTGAAGTCCTTGCCATATTTTTCCAATGCCTCTTCAAATAAACTAGCTTCTGATGCTGACCACTCTTCCATTTCATCTCTACACAAGACAGGCCCTCCAAGTGGCACTAGAACACTGATGGCACTGCTCAAATCATAGTTGTGTTTATGCAGTGTATCCATTGCATGAAACTAGCAAGGAGAAGGAAAGAATAAAAATGTGTTTAAATCAACAGTAGTCCATTTCAGTTAATGCAAATTCAATGTATTATTTTCTATAAGCCACAAAAGAAGCCTCAACTAATGCTGCATTTAGAATTTACCTTGACATCGTAAGTTTTCTGCTGTGGATTATAAGGAAAATAAATTGTTTATTACTTAATTTGGGAAAGGAAATGCCTTAATAAAGTGTGTACTAAAAATGACATTAGTTTATTAGTTCCTGCAAATTACTAGCAAACATTTCTAGAGAATCTTCAGTTGGTAGAAACTGGTTCCAAGTAATCCAATAGAGACAGTGGCATATATTGACTGACAGGCCATTTTCACTTAACAGAAGTTCTAAATAGTAGCTAAACAGCTGCCCAAACATCTATATGCTCAATATTCTCACTGCTGGGGAAGGAAGCCATTTGCTGTTTTCATTATCACACTGAAAAGTAAGAAATACTTTTGTCCCTTGTTAAACTCTGTTGTCAGAGATGGATAAATGAGGTTTCTTTGGTTAACTTTCCATTATAAAAGAGGAAAACAGAAAACAAACAATTTATAGCATTTTTCATTTTACCGGTAACACTGAACACTCACATCACTAAGCAATGGTGGAGAATAGAAAAAGTAAGCAACTACATCATGAATCCACCCGCAGGGAAAATGAGCAACATACAAGAAGCCTTTCTGGCTCAGCGTCCCAAAAGACCCCATCGCCACAATCTTAAGTTATTTTGCTGAAGGAGGTGTTAGAGGTATAAAGCACAGTAAGGAGTGTGACTAACACCAGTCTCCTACCTATTTGTTCCACCACAGCGATGAGTTGCAACTGTAGCATGAAATCTCTCAGATAGCCCTAAAGTCGTCTTATGAGAAGGGACACCCAAAATCTTTCAAGGAAGGACCACTCTTGCATTGTGTGTCAGTACAGCACTTACAGAGCAATTTCAGTTGAGCTTCCGTATGCAAATGTATTGCAACTAATGAATTCTCCTTATCTTTTGCCATCTCCTATGAGTGGCGAAAGTCTTTCTCCAGCTTTCAATATACCTCTTTGAAGCCTATCAAGCATATGATTCTTGAACTGTTTTGTCTGCAAGAAGTAATATCACTATTATCCTACAATATGTCATTTTCCTTATGGTTCAAGTCAAATTCACCAGCCTTGAGAAAAAGCCATTGTTAAAATTTCCATTCCTAATATGGAAATATGTAACATAATGTCTAAGATCCATAATCTTCAGATTAGAGAATGTAAAATAAAACCACTGGTTAACTGCTTATCATTCAGGCAATGAGTAAACCAGGCCCCAAAACTGAACTCTTACAGTGTATCTGTTACCAAGGTTTAAATCTTTGTTTAAATTGCAGCACTTGTGGAAAAGTAGTACATACTGGGCATTTGCCAAGGGCTGCTAAATCTGGATCTATTCACTGATACCAACTTTCTTAAAAATTACAGCAGAAGTGAATAAATCAGGATCTTGTTCTTGCCTTATGTTCATTTTTCCATCTATAATAAACATCTGATTCCATAAAGCTTTTTTTTATATTACTTAAGAAAAGATTTATAATGCACTCTGTGCATAAGCGGCATCTTCACCGAGCTGTTCTGTGACAGAAGACCATGGACAAGTTCCCATGATAACAACTCTTTGCCTTCTGCAGGTTTGTCAGCCCTCATCTGCAATTAAAGTCCCATATTGAACTGAGTAAACTGTGCTAGAAAACGCAAGAGCAGCCAGAAGACAAGAAGTCCTGAGTATCTCCTTTTTATTTGCTTTACCCAAGGAATGAGAAAACTGCAAGAAACAACTAGTGGGTATCTGACACCTATGGAGGAGGAGGCTAGGAAGACCTGGCATTGCCTGTCCCAAATACAAGCTTGAAGGACAGAGGAAGAACCACCCTTCCCTAAGAACTCTTACCCAGAGCATACTGTCCAGCGCAGAGAAGGGGTCCCACCAGAGGAAAGGTATAAGCCACACAGAGAGAATTTCAAGTCCAAATTTAAGCAGGTAAAGGAAGAAACTATCCACCAACACCTAAGCAAGGGCTGCATGGAGTTGGGAAGAAAGGGAATGACAGGCATGCTGCAAACCAGCCTTAACACACAGTTCCCAAACCAGCTGCAATTTCAGTAGTCAGTTAAATCAACTAGACTGAACTGCCTCCAACAAAGCACTCAAACTGGAAACACGGTATGGATTCTATAATTCAATAGTATTTCAAACATGTTTATCTTCAGAGCGACACATATTTCAAAAATCATTAAAAAGGTGTCACAGGCATGCTGCAAACCAGCCTTAACACACAGTTCCCAAACCAGCTGCAATTTCAGTAGTCAGTTAAATCAACTAGACTGAACTGCCTCCAACAAAGCACTCAAACTGGAAACACGGTATGGATTCTATAATTCAATAGTATTTCAAACATGTTTATCTTCAGAGCGACACATATTTCAAAAATCATTAAAAAGGTGTCACTCAAAATGCCAGTATTTCAAACATGTTTATCTTCAGAGCCACATATATTTCAAAAATCATTAAAAAGGTGTCACTCAAAATGCAAAGGAAAAACCTGTTCATACTTTTCACTTTGAAGAGACATCCAAAACCAGATTTACATCCTTACAGCAAAGTAGCACAGGTTCTTCCGAACAAGCCCACCACAAGGAGAAGGGATTCCATCAACCTGCTTTGCTTTAATGGCTCTCATCATCACTGTAAGTACTACGCAATGTTTAGGAATCTGATACCTTCCCAGTTTCTTTCCCTTCTCAGAGATCAATTTTCATTACAAAAGAAAGCATTGTCACTGAGAAGGCCAGAAATGCAAGTTTCACTTGGTTGTTTGCCTCACAAGTCTTTATCACTGTAACAAAAGAACATTTACGATCATCTAAGAAGGTAAACATATTGTTTCATGTCTTTCAGTAGGGTTTTCTAAAAGCATTGGTAGTTTCCTGCCTTGTCACATTACTTGCCCCGTATTTTCAAAATAAGGAAGTCTGAAAGTAGCCTCTCACTTGCTGTTGAGCTGCATGACCTCCCTAACATGTACATCCACCCTGAATTTACTCATGTTTATAACCTATGCATTTATTGTGAGGTTTGGGGTTTTTTTTAGTATTAGTCTGTTCACAGTCATCTCTAATTGAAACAAATAATTAGGAATACTGGAAAGCCACAGGTGTGGTGTATAGAAATCCCATTAATAGCACTTCAGGTGCAAGGGTTATCTGCCTTGCATTAAGAATACAGACAGTATAATTTTCTTAGTGTTACGCATCTACATCCCTTCCAAAGTATAAATGACACACACAAGTTCCGCAAACGCCTGTACTAACTTTAACTGCTGCTCAAAATATGTTCCCAATTAACATGGGAATGTTTGAAAGAGTAACTACTATAGTGACAAATATGTCTTTTCTTAACTTAGAAGGAAGTACACTGCCAAAGAGCAAAAGAGAAGGGTTTTAAAAAGCTGAGGTGGTAGGAAAATGAGAAGAGACAGACACAATAATTAAACCTGGAGTGGCTCCTCTAGTGCCTCATTATAAGATATGCCTTTCATTAAGTGTAATGGAACTTAATGGATCATTTGCAATGGAGAAACATTTATACAGCACAAACACCAAATGCATCCCTTTATTAGCAGCATTGCACATGTACTTTCAAACACGAAGAAATTTCTAAAAGGATGAATCTATTCTATTAATCACTGAATACAGTAAGAATGAGGCACAGTGTGTGGGATTTAATCGAAATTCTTAATCCAATGAAATCTTAATAAAATGAAAAATATTAAGCTAAGGAAGTAGAACTTCGATGGAAAAAAATAAAGCATTTAATGTGAACAGAATTGTGTTGGTAAGGTCATATCAGCAAGTGTAAAACAGAAAACTCATTTTGAGTAATACTGAAGACATTGCATTTTGCCACTGCTTTTACTACACTACTGTAGTCCAGACTAAATCAGTTTCCTGTTTAACATCCTTTGAGTACACTGCAAAATTTAAAAAATTAAGTGTTTTTCTCATCATACTAACGAATATATTTTATCTGGAATGTAAGAACTGCCCTACTGGATCAGACCAGTCATCCATCTACCCAAGCATTCCGTCTCTGACAGCAGCACCAAGGCATATTACTTAGAGAAAATATGCAGGTAAGTCTAACCACAGCCTGAGATCAATTCCCATTTCATTTACCAGCATCTATAAACCTCGGGAATTAGGAATGCTAGATGGTACACCTCTCTCTGTTCTCCTCAGTACCCATTCATGGACCCATGGTCCACAACTCTTCTAACCCCTTTTCTTAACCTGCTGATATTGTCTGTTCCCATAAAATGTTGTGTAACTAAATCCTAGGGGCTCTCTATCCACTTTGTAAGGCAGTACCTAACTGTTTTAAACTGATATGTTGACTTCATCGAGTGCCCTCTGGTTCAAATACTCAACGATTTGATGAGTAGCAGATCTACTTTAGCCTTAACTATCATCCTCATGATTCTGTACACAAATAATAAAGAACTCCTGGTGACGTCTTTGGAAATCTGAGTCCAACATGATTCTATGATACAGTAAATTTTTTTTTTTCCCTCATATAGTTTTCCTGGCATGCTTTTGTTACTGTAGCACACCTTGTCATCTCAGCTAATATGAATATCGGTCTGTAATTAATATATTTTTAACTTTCTCTAAAAGATGCAGGTGCTTACGTTACAGTGAAAACTTTATTAAACTAAGGAAACATCCTAAGGATATCCTAAGTAAAATATTCTTCAAAAAGCTGCTTACAAAGTCAGATTGTTTATCTTTTAGAAAATTTACTGACACACACATCTAGTAAGTGCAAATTATTAACTAAACAACTTTCAGTCAGCTTTATTACCATATACTTTAAATCACACTATTGATCAATTATACCAAATGAATCCCTATACAATGTGTATTATCCACTCTGCTGTGCAAATTATCAAATACGAAAATTTTATATTTAAATAGATTTCACCTCAAGTGATTTGCGGTATGATCACAAGGGCACCACCAATAAGCTTACAGAAAACACACAGGATTATCTACCATACACACATGCACCTTGCACGCAGGTATCTAAAGGAAAACAGTTATCCAGAGGACTGGGACTCTGGAGTTATAGATAGTGTTGAACTCACAGGTATAAAAAAAGTTGTAGGGCTTTTAAGAAGCCACCTACCAGTGTGATGTCTCGGGAAGCAGCAGCTGCACTCATGTGTAAACTAGGTTGCCTGACAGAACTACTGCAGTCCAATGCTCGAGCAAACGTGCCAACCGCACTACAACAGGGAAACAGCAGACAGTAAATACATAGAAAGATGTAACTTCTTTCTTATTATAAGACAACGTCGTATCTATAAAAGTGTCCTTTTAAAAATAAAATTCACATACTCTTAAGATTTCAGATCTTTGCTAACAAAGGACAATTTGATAAAGACAAATCACTTAACACTGCAGTAAAAACTCTGACCTTCTCCCCCAAAAGTAACAATCTACATATAAGAACAGCAGCATGGAAACAAAATATACTCAGAGAATTCTAATGTACCAACTTTTTACTGTACCAATTTTTGCTTAATTACAAAGTCAAAGATCCTACTCAGTTTAGGTTTTACAATCATGACTATAATTTTAAAAGTTAAAAAGCCACAATGCTGTTTAACAAATTACAATGCAAATAAAAAAAGGGGGTTCACCATGTTCCCCTGAAGAAATTAGTAACATTTTATTCATTTCAGTAATGCCTGTCTACTACTTCCACCAGTGAGGCAAAGAAAGCATATTGCTTAGTCTCAGGTACCTCCAAAATCATGGTTTTGTCACAGATATGGATCTCTCAGCCTACTTAATAAAAGCATTCCAGTGTTCGAAATGGACCTGTTTTTCTCCAGACCTTTACCTTTTTTTTCCCTTCACTTTTGTTGATGAATCGTACATGGCATTTATTATACTTACCAGAATAACAAAAGATAAGGAATAGAGGTGGAGAATTAGTATGACAGTGATTGTTCGAAACTGCAAACTTTTCTTGGAAGCACATCCACATACCATGCACAGTGAAAGGAAAGATGCACAAGAGAATTTGACTGGGCTCAGAATATCATACAGAAAATGAGCAAAGATGCAGCAGCATGTGAAAAAGATTACTGATTAACAGAACAGAAGCTGCTCCAGCACCCTGAGTTGCATGACTTTTGAGGTGCATTGCATCACTATGATATTAGAAAAGAATTATTTGTTGCAGTTATGACATAAGTCCTTCTAAATCCAAAGAACCAATTACTCACTCAACATTTTTAATACAGTCTAAGTCTCCACACTAAGGACTGGAGCCCCATTCAGCAATTACACTCTACCCAAGTTATAAGGACAGAACTATTCTAATGAGAAATGTCACTGACAATAGAACAACACACTGAAAACGTCACATTATCGTGTACTATAAACCTGCCATTCAACAATAAAATAATGTAATGTGCATCAAGAGTTTAACTCACCAAGGTGTATCATTGATGATGGAGAAACTGGCAATAACATCTGTTATTGCAATTTTATCTTGAATCTCAAAACATTTAATACTGAATGCATGTTTCAGTACTTGCTGCCAAAAACTCCTAAGACACAGTTAAGATTCAACAGCAGTGATTCACATTCCAAATATTAACTGCTTAAATTTCTAAAGGCTGTGGAACAACTAGGTTATATTCAAACGTTGTTCCACAACTTTTGCTCCCTCTTTTCAGAAATGGCAAATATGTGACAAGAACACACACACTTTCTATTTTCTTTTTTAAAAAGTTTGGCAGTACATAAAACAGTATTTGTCCGCAAATCAGTCCCGAGAATAAGGCTCTATTGTGAACACATTTCCTGATAGTCACTCAACCCCTTTAAACATGCTGGCATTGATAAGGGTTGTAGCTAAATAGTCTTTCCTGTGATCCTTCTGTCGCTACTGTTCAAACCAGTAAAGCAGCATGTGGCATGACTGCATTTCCCTTCTGCTGCTGCCTACTAGCTTCTTATCTTCCTTTTGCATAATTAACACTATTTTCTTTTGACCATATTTCTAAAGTAAAATCAGAATATGCTATGAAAATTACAAAAAGTATGTCCTCACAAGTCACTCTCTAGCAGATCAAATGTTTTAGGCTGACTTCAGAGCCTGAGCATATGTGAATTATGTTGCCCAGTATGTAAAGTCAAAATTAAGACACAACATAAAGCCAGGTTTATTTCCAATAAGTGATAAAGAATTGATGCACTAGCTGACATCGCTTCCAGTGCTGTACTGAGTAGGAGAGGTTCGCAACCATCAGAGGAATACAGCGTGGGAGCGCGAGGTACGTGAGCGCAAAACAAATAAGAACCACCATAAAACATAGGCAGCATGCCATGCTGGGGGCGGGGAGAGGTCTCTATGTGTCTGTGGCTATGTGTCAAAATCAATATAACTACCAGTTCACCTTTCCGTGGAAACTTTTGAAAAACGGAGAATTTTTCAGACTATCCAAATAAGCGTAGGAATCCTAGAGCATTTGGCTGTTAAATAGTAACTAGTCTCAAAATTTAACAATGATATACAGTGTTCTGTATAATCTAGCCATACAATCCAAACCCAAATTCAATATTAATTTTAGAAATCATTAAAATACCTTATTTGTTGTTTTTACATTTAAAATACATATATGAGAAACATCTTGATACAAAGGTCAAACAATTCCTTTGTCATTTTTCCTTGCATGATTCCCCTCTTCAATAATACCAACAAAGAATTATTTTAAAAATGTTAAAAGGAAAAAAAAAATCAAACAATCATCAAAAAACTAACCAACAGCCATTTCCAGAAGACACGTTATTGTCTTCACCTGCCTGCTACCAAAATAAAATTCAGTATTAAGCCGACGCAGGCTGAACAATCACACCGTAACTACTCATTTTTTCCTTTAAACAGACACTTTAATGTAAATGTTCCATTAAGTTGGTAGAATCCAAAGAATAACTGTAAATATTTAATTAAAGTACATTTAATTCAATAATAACAATAATAAACTCACTCAACCAAAAAAATGTGCTCAGTAAGCTAGTCACAAATTAGTTATTCAACAAGTAATTAAAAGTACTGAGACATCAAACAGAAACTGACACTGCCCATGGCTCCGAAAATAAGCTAAAGCCAAAAGGCACACAGACAGTGAATTACACAGGTTGCAGAGAGATGGACAAGAATGATAAACAACTGATGATAGCAGCAGAGAGATCACTCTTTGCACAGGCTGTATCAGCAAGCAGGTGTAACAGCTTTATGGACTAGACCAAATGATCCGGTGTTACTTTAATCAGGTTCTCCTTGTTTTAATTATCTTAAAGACCAGAACCAAGAACATGCTCTCAAGGACTTGTAACAGAGATTGCAGCTGACAACTGTACAAACAATAAAAAAAAAATTCAAGATAATCCAGTGCCAGGATCTAAGAATATGGAATAAATCCACAACTTCAGCAAAACTCAACAATATCTATGTCCAGAAAATAACCTGACAGTGAACTCTAGGCATGAAGTAGCTCATCATCATCTTGTTGTGCCTGTGTGCCCTACATTCAGGCAAAACTTCAGATTAAGTATTGAACACAGAAAACACATTGCTCCAAATTTCTTATAACTCAAATCTAAGACATTAAAGGAAGTAGTTGTTCATATTTTTGCCTAAGATTAGTAGTACTGGTAGCCAACGAAATTGTGAAGCAGCAAATGCAAGAGACCATCATAATACAATTCTAAAGATTGAATTGCTCATCCGTAACCAGTTTTGAAAAGGGACGTTATTTACCAAACAAAATCTGGAACCACTGTGATTATATATGAGGATAAAAATAGTCACTAGTCTCCCCGGTAGCAACAGCAGTCCAGCATCAAATCACATCCAGAAAGTTCTGGGTCCAGGCCAGTAACTCTCTGTTTTCTTCTACTTTGTATTTTCAAAAATCCAGCTGAGACAAAGATCCTTTTTAATCTGACGATGTTTATTTTAAAATTGTTCACTTTTATACATTGTTCCTCCGTTTCAGTGATATGAGATGAGTAGTGGGTATACCCTAGACACCCTTAAACCGAACCACCTCTGTGCATACATGGGTCTGCAAATTTTCCTCATATATTTGCAAGCTAATGAGTGAGACCTATACCTCACCTCAGAGTTAACATTTTTGAGGAAAATAATTAAGTGGGTCTTTGGTGGTTTCCTACATATTAGGAAAGCTTTTTCTTTTCCTTATTATTATGTCAATGTTCCCCTTCACTATGAGTTGGAAATGGTCCTAAAAGATGACCTCTTAGACTGTTATCAATAACAGCATTTTACAAACAGCCAATTAATATGTGATTGCTCCATAAGAGAATCTTGTGACACTTAAAATCTTGGAAAGAATGAAAAAAAAAAAAAACAGCACAACCTTCTTCAGTGGAGATATCAGCACAATATTAAAGCTAAAAAATAATATCCCTGAGATTTTTACTACTGGATAATGCAAAATCTGACATGAAGAACATATTCATAGTAAAATGATGCTGTTCCAGAAGACACATTTTCCTTGCATTTCTAAGCAACTGTCTGTGTAGTGCTATGCCTCATTATTATCGCTCCAGGTATTTAGAGCGCAAAGGGAGATGTCTTGATAAACATGAAAGTCACCTGTCACTGTTCCTTCTCTGAAAGTCTCAAGAAGTTAGCGTACGGGGTGGCATTACATGTAATGTCCCCATGCACCACAATGAACCTTCCGTTTCATTACTAAATGAATAGAAATGGAACATGTGTGAAATCTTTATTATTCAACAGAAACAGAATCTGATAGATACGAGTCGTTTAATACACACGATATGATTTAAGCTATCATCTGTACACCATCCTGTAATTTCAGAGTCAGAGGAGGATACTTACAGCCCCCCAAAATAATGAAAACACTGTTGCAGAAATTTTTTCTTTATAATGCAATAGACGAAAATTCATGAATAGATGCAAAAAGAAATTCAGCTTCAAGTTTGAATTAGCTGTTTTCAAATGAATTTGCTCAAGAAGAAATACAGTAACACAAAATGCACAAAGGAATAAACATGTACTGGCAAAGCATGACAGACAGGCAGAAACATAGTATTTTTGATACTCCTAGTAAACTCGATGTGAACATATTTTTCCTTTTTATTGCCAAACCATCTGCCTACCATTAGAAGCTGTAATTCACCTTGCTAACAAACATCTAGTTTTGCAAGTGCAGCACTGGCATCAAGATTTTTCACCATCTTTACCACATAATTTTATGTTGCAACTCTGCCATTAAATTTCATTACCTCTTTCATCAACTCCAATTCCTCTTACTTCTCACCACCGAAAGAGAATCCAGAAGCACACTAATACTGAAGCTTTCAAACCAGTGACTTCTGTGTGTTTATTTTCATTGATGAGCTTTGGGAGTCTTGTCTACTGCCACTGACTATACTGAATTATCTTGCAAGAACAGAGTATTACTATTTGAGCACACTAAGATGTTTTCACTTACTGTTCTCAGTTGACAAGTGTATTATTTTCCTCAATACAATGAAAGACACATTGCTAGCTGAAGCTGCATTGTGTTCCCTTCCTCACTGTAAGACAAATTTGTGTAACAAATACACTTTCATACAACATAAGCACTTACAACAATCAACAGTAACCAACAGAAAATGAATGTAATCACTGTCTTACAGAAAATGGAAAACTGGGAACACAGGAAGGATCAAGCTCTAATTCAAAATGACTAACACATAGTTTTCCATTCTTCTGTGATTTTACATCAAAAAATAACATATTTCTCTTGAATGCCTGCTTATGTTAGCCAGAGGTATGCGATGCCATTTAATTTCAAAGAAATCAAAGAACAAATTTTTAAGATGGAGATGCAATGCTTTAAGGCTATTTTAATTCGTCTTCAAAACTCTGATTTAGTTGGAAATAAGCTGGGACCACAAATGTCTGAAAAATAGCTTGATTTAGAGATATATTCCTTCCAGAAGACTATAGATGAAGCAGAAGAACTAAGATGTTAACCATGTCACTGCATCACAAAGTACACAAACAGAACTATAATGTACCAAAAACATATCATGTAATGAATTAAAGACCAAATTAGCAGTTAGAAAGAAAATTTTTAAAAATGGGTCAGGTCTACAGCTCTCAGCATCTGTCCAGACAGGAGCCCACACATCCTACTGCATTTGAGTCTCGTCAGGACCATTTTCACCTCATTGACAAACCAAAAAAAAATACAGGACTATTATGTTATACACACGATAGGAAACTTTCTATTTCCTAATATTATACAAGTTGGAACAGAGTTAGAAAGAGAACATCAGATCTCACATGGAAATTAAGTACTCCTTGAATATTAGGAATGACAGAGACTGATGACTGGAGAAAACAGGGTGCATCTCCACCAGTGTTTTAGTTCAAATTAGGAATGGAGTTTCAAAGCAACTGTTCCCAGCATCTTTACCTACTGCACTTTAACCAACATCAAAACGTATCTTGTAGCATACAAACTGGATTTCTGTTAAGTTAAACAGTAGTTCCACATGCTCATAGATATTTAGTCCACGGGACCAGGTTAGAGTTAGCCTAAAAATAAAACTGCTCAAAGTGTGCACAGTGTGGATGCTAGGTCCTCAGCACGAAACATGTCGATTCTACAAATCTACTTCTACTGTATTGTACTATTTGCTAACGTGGACAGATCTAAACTGCTGTTGCAGCTTCCCAGAGTTCTGTTCTTCGAAGCTTGTAGACACAGAACAACTGTTGCCAATATCTATGACAGAACAAAAACTGGTTGATGAAGCCGTATCTCATTTGAATGGAGTAGAAAATGGTGTTGGATTTCTCATTGCCAGAGTACAAATGACAGTGCATTAGCCAAGAAACAACTCAAAACCAGAATAAATTAGACTGATGCCTCAAGCCTCTCCTAACAGATGGTTTTGCTAGTTCAAGCAAGAGCCCTTGCCCAAATTATGCTTCAGTAGTACCAATAAGGTACTTTCAAGATTTGTAAATCCAGAGAGTCAAGCAAGACTACTGAGGGAGGTCAAAGTTAAGGATCCTTCTGCTGAAGTATTCTTACGCTTTTTTCAAAATCTCCACAGATTTCTCTGGCATTGCTACCTCTAATTTCTGGACAAGATAGGCATACTCTTCTACCTTTACATCCAGTAAATTATTGCATGCTAGGGCTTAGTCACAGGCCCAGACCAACCAAGCATATAAACCTAGAAAAAAGGCTTCTCATTCCCGAGACAGCAAAAAAAACTTGTAAGACTGGGAAAGCTACATGCCCAAGGCCAAATACAAAGGTTCTTGCAAATGGGCAACACAAATACAAAAACCAGAAGAAGGTATTTAAACACCTTCTAAAGAACCAACAAAGTGTGCTTGTGTGATTGAAAAAGCTAAAGCCTATAATGACAAAAGCAACTCTTCCTTCAACCAGAACAGACTGAAAAAAATTGAGAATACTGGATGCTTTTGACACAGCATGTAAAACGGACCACGTGAAAATGCTTTTAAATTCTCAAATACAGACAGTATACATACACTCAACCAAAATCACATATAGGAAAGCATTTAAGAAGAAGTTTTTATTGTCAGAATTTCAAATTTACTAAACTAAACATAATCAGAGAAATACCATTCTCACTGGAAACCCAACAGGCACAGCCAATGCTCAGTGAACTGCAGTTAAGACGACAGCACAGCTATCTTCTCAGTCTGTAAACACAGTTCACCAGATCATAACACCAACTCCAGCATTACTCAAGCAGCTTTTAGGGGTCCAGTATAATGCAAGCTTTTACCTGCAAGTACTCAACATACTGAATTTAAAGCTGCCACAATCATCATAACAGAACTGCTTCTCCAGAAATTGGTGAAAATCTGTCTTGGAAGCACTTAATGCAACAGAAATGTGATCTTGCAGTTGGTCAATGCAAGTACATAGGAGCTTGGAAATAGTTTCTTTCAGTTCAAAAGCAGCTTACAAAGATGAATGGAGTTTTGTGGACTAAAGTGGTACCTGAGTAACATCTGATCAGAGATGGTCGGTAGTGATCGCCTACCACAAGATCTTGGATAGCTACAATTAGTCAGCGTGGCCAAAACCCATTCCCGGTCATAACAGAAAGCTTCTTTACAGAAATTTATCAACTCCTAAACAAATGCAGTCTTGGTCAGGGCACAGCATTGCACAGGGGAAGAAGAGAGAAGAATGTTTTTCTCTAAAAATTTAATTTATTCTCTGTCATTTCCCAGTAGACTGCTTACTAGTACACTCCTCTGGGAACACTTTCAGCTTCACAATACACTACTTCAGCTTCCCAGAGTGGCTGCAAACTGAGGAATAGAGGGATGTGAAGGCAATGAATGAACTCTTCAAAAACACACATAATCTTCATGCAGATGGTTTTTAGGGCACCCCATAACGGTCTGCCCATATGTGTCCAGGTATTATATTGCTGGTGACAGAAGTAGTTCCATTTCATGAGCTCTGTTCTATGGAGCATCTACCAGACATTGTGATCTTCTGAAGAGATGCACGTTTACACCTATATCCCCCCCTCTGGCTTGCTTGGAATTCAACAGGGGCAGGTAATTTTTACTGTTGTATAGAAAGGATACAGCACTACAAAGTGGGGGAAAAAGAAGAAACCCAGGTGGATCAGTATCTGAACTGTAAAACATTAAATTGGCAACCCATTTCACCATACACATAAGCTGGAAAATACAAAGCAACTTCTGTATTTCTTTCCTGAAATGCTTGGTTCAAAAGAGAGAAAGAATAAAGAACAAAAACTGGAAACAACATAAAAGGATTATTTGCCTAAGAAGATTTCAGACTACCCTCTGCAACGAGGTTACAGAAAATACAGGAGATGGAGAGATTCAGGATAAAATCCCTACATTAGCTGTGATTAACAGTTCTCTGCCATCTAAGTATGAATTACAGGACAGGTGAAATATGCTGTGTATTATGAGTGTAGATTGTCCTTCAGTAAGAAGTCTATAGAGTTTTGAAATTTTTGGGTTTTGGTTTTTCTGGTTTTTATTGAAAGTAGAGGTATAATTTTTAAACGTATTTATAAATTCCAAGGGTTTTGATGTTCCTCTCATAAATCTGCATAAACGTATGTTAATTTATAACATTGAACTGACCAGATTTTTTCACTAATGAAATGCATCACTTCAAAACTTTTATTTCAATATTCATCCAAAATAATTGCACTGCGTATTACTCAGTTTATATGCAAATTGGGCAAGTTCTGCATCCATTTCATTTGTTAACATTTTCTTAATTTCTACTCTTAACTTTTATTTTACACTATGAAATTCCAAGTACTATAATACAACACTGAAATATTAACACTGCAATCCTGTTTCATTTACTCTGAGGGGAAAACAGACTGATGTCTACATTTAAAGTATTAAATTCTACTATAACCTGAAATACAGGGAGTATCGCATATTCCAAAACTCACTCTCTTTTTCTCTCTTCTGTATTGGTAGCTTCAATAAATATGCAGAAGGTTATTGTCTGATTTTCTCTTTTAGCTAACTGTGGGAAAGAGAAGGGCTCACAAAATGGTAAACAAGTTGAGTAACACGATATAGGGGAATAAATAGTCAGTAGAAAAAGGAAAAGGAATTTTTTTTTTATTAGAGGATTTTAATCTTACCGTGCTACAACTAAAAACTGGTCAATCTGACGGTCAGTAAGGGGGCTATCTGGATCCCATACTTTTACTTCCAGCTTTGCCTGTTCTCTGTCATCTAATTCTCCTGTCAAAAGGTAGATGGGACAAAACACTTATTACTCACAATGTTTTCCTCTGTGTATCTCTTGCACTATGTTTAAAAGAGACATTGTACATTTTTAACACACACACACAGAGTACTTAACAATCAGCAGTTACCCATTTAAATTCCATAATGCAGTATCAGCAAAACAAATATCTTCCCTTAACATCAGCGTTTCAATTTAAAAAGGCATTCTTAGGAGGCATAGTATCAAAGAACTTTAATAAAAATGTGATTATAAACTTGAAACCATAACGTAAGTAACCAGCAGTTTCTTTAAATTGCTTCCCAACTATATCAAAGTTACTGTTTCACTTAGCCATATTAAAATAAATTTTACACTTATCCAGTTTCAGCAATTAAATTCTATTCAATTTGTATTCCCTGCCCCCAAAACAAAAATCATTATGAGAAAATGCTGTCTACTACATTTAATTATTTTTTTCACCTCCTGCTCTCAGTCACTACATTATCTGTATGTTAACACAAAACATACTACTAAAATTGCTGTGTACGTTGACTAGCTATATCCTCTTATAAAATAACGTATGAGGCTACAGCACAAGAATATTACTATATACTACATTCATCGTTTCCCAATTCTATTGGTCTGAATAGAGCAACGTTTACACATGCACATGGCCAAAACAATGGTGGTGGTTTCTGAAATTTAATTTGCCATGCATACATTATTTAAAGAGTACGGCATTTGTACTGCTTGGAAAAACAGTGAAGTGTGAAGACACCACAATGATTCACATTTGTATGGAAGCCTAAATCTTAGCTTGACTACTACACCAATAACTTCTACTGCAAAATGAGAAACGTTAGAGAGGCCGATTAAGTAGGCACCACATATTCTACTAGTACGAGAAGATTTACCTGTGGGATGTGGCCAACAAGTGCAAAGTTAAAATCATAGTCTTTCCTTGGTATTCTAGAATACAAGCACGTTCTTCCCTCAGTGAACATCTGAAAAACTCCAGTATTTAGCTGGCTGCCAGTACTTGTCTCTGACTTTTATGAGCTACTACAAGAATAAAGATCTGTTCTCAAATTCAGGCATCCCATTTCCTTTAAAAATCCAGGTTGTGTAGGTAGGTACCTCTCTGAGCACACGGAAGATCACTTTAGTCTGTGCTATTTCTTATGACTTAATGAAAACAGCCAGTCTAAACACGCATAGTAAACATCAAGACATGAAATAACCTGTACATTTAAGAGTCTGGAAGCAGACTGCAAACCAAGCACTGGCTCTTCTGAAATCTGATCATATGTGGTGCGTTTCTCTAGCATACTCATTCTGGAAGGAAATGAAAACGTGGTATTTATTTATCCCTACCAAATACACACGTTAGAACTCCACCATGCTGTCTGGTTAATGTTTCGGGAACAAATTTCAGCCACATTCTCAGAAAAACAAAGTAAATTACTTTCTTCTGACACACAGGCAATAAAGCGTTGCCTGCCTAATAAGACTTCTGCTTCTGTTTAAGCTAATTCACATCCAGTAGTGGAGACACACTGTTAATTTCTGGTAATCTTGGGTAGGATTTTAGGTCTATAAATTTATTCAATAGACTACACACCTGTCAATACATTCATTTTTTCCATCTGTAACAGACACATTGTGGGTGATGCTCTACATTGTATAAATAATCTCTGAGCACTTCATTTCAATCTGTTAATATATAGTTATAAATATCTTTAATGTTAGTTAACTGTTTCAGGACATCATATCCTGGAGATCATAACAATACTCAGACAGAGTATACTTCTCACAAAGATAAAACATCCTACAAGCACAGCACAATATTCAACCAAAACATGTCACACTCCTGAATCAAGTTTGCAAAATGATGAAAAAAATTGCAATACTACACATCTTACCTCAGTTAGAGGTAATTAAACAATTGCTACTACAAAATGTTGTTGTAACTCTTGATAACGGTAAATCTGAACTATTGCCAAACAGTACTTTTTAACGGCAGCAGACATAAATAGGATAATCTGAATATTAATTTTACTGGAAAACATTAGTAGATGGTCAGAAATATGCCTGGTTTTCTCCTCATTAATCATTTAGTGCCTTAGTTCTCATGGTTCTCTTCTAATAAAAAGCAAAATTTTTTTGTTGGTTTTTTTGTTTGTTGTGTTTTGGGTTTTTTTTTTGCTTTAAAAAAAAAAGTTCTGCATTTCAGTTAGTCATTTCAAACAAAGCATGATATGCCCCCCTCCCCGAAACAACTGTAAGAAAAATTTTACAGAAGTAAACTAAATGCAATTTTTAACCAAATGTAATTAAAATTAATTATAAGAAATTAGAGATCTACTTAGTGTTTTAGACTTCACTTCCTGCAGATAAATATCCCCAAGGTAATTAGTACATTAGATTCAGCATGATTCTATGTTCCTGTAATATATCCAACTAAAAGAAAGTAACTTGCAGTATGAACTATGTACATTTTCTTAGAGTCCAATTCTTTTAATTTCACAGATATGTAACAATGCTGCAATGTTGTATCCTTTTAAGAAACTGAAATATGAAATCTACAGAAGTTGGATTTTTTAAAAACAGTTTTCAGGGAAACAAAGTCAATTCCACTTTTAATGACAGTTGATGAGGTATCTGACTGAAAAATAGCCAGGAGGACACAGTTTTCAGAGACGCCACTTGTCAAGTACAGTGTCTTATTTTTTTATTTTGCATAATTTGCACTATTTTTCGGAATACCTTCTTATTCTCCTTTTGAAGAAGTAATTTAGGAGTCACTTCAATCTAAACACATAAACTAAACACTTGCAGTGCTCAGTCTTCTGAGTGAATCCATCTATCACGATATGCAAAACAGAAGCATCAGCTGCTGGATCCTTAATCAGATGGGAAAGAAAATCTGTAGTTGTGATTTTTTGGTTATAGGCAGATATATCCATGGACAGCAGCTGGGACACCAGACCAACAGTTTGTACTGCAGAGTTCCTCCTACTATGGAAATTCATTCAGGGCTTGATACAGTCTCTTTAAATCAGCCAGGAGATTTGACTCATGCATTAATTACCCAAACTCACTAGATACCTAAGCACATAAACATGAAGGCATTTGTAGATGCTTATATTCTTAATGCTTAGCACATATCTAAGTAAACTCAGTGTCTTCATCTGTGTGTTTCAGTTCTATACGTGTGAAAGAGGAGTATCTCTTTGCTACCTTGCAAGAATGTGGAAGAGAGGTACTTGTCAGTTCTTGCCCTCCCTTACAAGCAACACAATGAAATTTCTGTTACTGAAGTATGGGATCAGATTTAGTCGTTATAGCATTTAGCAGGTTTTTTGCCACAACTCTTGGCAGTGTACTAACTGCAGGTAATCCTAAATGTCTTTTTGAACATAGTTTCATGTGCTATATAACATTGTAAAAATAGGCAACTGATCACTGAAAATGAGAAGGTGGTCTATGAATTGAAACCTCATGCTACTATTTAGACTGTTTGTCTGCAAACTTTTTCCTCTAACTTACAGATGAGAAAAATAGCATCACATTGGATTTTCTGATACTGTCTAGGTATGAACAAAGTTCCAGACATTACGCCTGTCTGTCTATCATGGCTTAACCCCAGTCAGCAACCAAACACCACCCATCTGTTTGCTCACTCAAGCAATCAAAAAAAAAATTTTTTAAAAAAAGTAAAACTCATCAGTTGAGATAAGAACAGCTGAGTAACTAAACTTAAATATAATACTAACAATAATAATAA